ATCAACGCTTGTAATAACTACCGTATAGTCATTACATGGAGGTAGTTTGACTGGTCATCCTGATCAGTTTGGGAAAGTGCCAGGGTCAGTCGTCGTGACAAACACTTGACCAGCACACACCAACAGGTGACCAGGTTGAACAGCGGAGAATCAGAGGTCTTGTTTTATTGGATTTTTTAAGAATCACGAAAGATTTATAATTTTACAGTACGTATATTTTCTTTAAAAATTGAAGGAAATTTAAGTTCTTATATTTTTTAGAGGACAAAATTAACTGGCCCCGTCTCCTCCTCGTGGGAGACAAATATTTCCCAAGTCATGTCTGTACAGATTATTATATAATATGCAGGATCAAGTTCTGTATATTGAGAAACATTGTCTTATTTTTCTAAATGCTTGGAACACGCCAATAAGTGATGCTTACACTCAACGTGACGTCTTCCATTTCACTCATTAATTATATGTTCCGAGAATTAACTTCCAAATGATACACTGTACTCAGTCTAAGATTTTGTGTTAACTCCAGAATAAACTGTACAGCCTACCACGAAGTCCCCCCCTTCTCTGGATAAAGGAACATTAAATGTGGAAAACCAGTGACTGTCAGCCGGATGGGATGTTTGCTACTGATCTGTAATGAGGTACTCCAGGTGTGAGGACTTTACGGTGTCATTTTATTAGTAGCATCTCGAGGTACTGTACGGTGAGGTGAGCCAGGAAATGCTTCAAACTTCCCAGGAATATTTTACATGGAAGCCAGAGAAATGAACAAAACTGTGTTAGAGTTAGAGTTTAACAAGATGATTATAATAGGTCAATTAAAAATATGTTTGAGTTCCGTAACGGGGATGAGGGGGGTGGGGGGTGGTGGGTGGAGGCTAATAATATTTCCGTAAATTTAAATTCATTTTAGTTTACTGTCTATGCTTTACTACAAGTAGGACAGCGCCTTGCTTTTCCTCTCAGGAATATCCGTACAAATATTCCAAGACACTGCAGCTCTTTGACTGGTGCGTGTGTAACCCTTGGCTGCCAATTAAATTATGATACCACTGGTACAGTAGGTATATGGAAGTAGTCTGAGGAGTTGAGCTTTATTTTAAAAATGCGTATTATAATTTTTTAGTTTTGATATCTTAAAGTAACTAAAAATAGTTAGATTTTGACAAAACTTATGAATAAAGTTTTGTTAACCTCCGACAACGTAGTTCGTTACTAACTATTCATTACATTTTAAGTGATTCTCATAAAATCGACACAACAGTTTGTCTTCCCATCATGCGAGCCGCTGGACAATTGACCCAAAAGTTCCGTTTAGATAATGGTGAAGTTAAAGCCGCGGACAGCGAGATATCGAAGTGTATTGACTGTAGATTTTTTTTTTTTTAAATAGTGAACAGCTAGATGCTGGTAATTGAAAGATGAGTTGGCAAATAATCCGCACAAGAAATCTAGAAAGTGACCAAGGACTAGCTGGCAGCTGCTGGGTCTGAATGTCATCTGAGAACGTGAGATTTTATCGCCAAGACCAACACCGGCGCCTATAAATGTCTATAGAATTATTATGTTGAAGTTGTCTTCAATATAACCTATACTTAGTAGGTGTCATAAAATAATGCAACAGACGATGGAAGTTAGCCTATAAATAGTAATTGCACAAATGTAATTAAACACCAAAACAAACTCAACTATAAAAATCCAAACGTATTAAAATTCTCTATTTGTTCAGTTATCTTTATTCTCTACCTTCTTCTGTGTTTCCATACTCTTACAATCTGTCTTACTTCAAAAAGATTATTTCCGGCATCTTCGTGGTGTAGATTAATAAAGTTTTTTTCTCTACTATTTTTAATTTATTTTTACTCTTATTCCCCCCCTCCCCAGTTGTGGGTCGATGACCTGTGTCCGGGTGGGCTATTTCCCGTAAAAAAAAAAATCTAAACTGACGAAGGGTAACATTACCTAACCGAAGCTCTAGAGGTGATGTTATTAATGCATTACTGTGCTGTGCTTCAATAACTATAACCTTTAATCGTGTAATTAATACACACTGTACATACAGCAGTCAACAACAATAAGAAAAACGGGAAATAGATAACTTTGTGAAGACTTGTGTGACCATCCTAGGAAACACGCCCCGCGTAGGGAAACACTTGTGGTGGCCCAACACCTGAGTTCTGATGGATGCCTCAAGTTACATCGGTATTCTTTTTCCCGCTCTGTTGACGTTACCTCACCGACTCTTCGCCCTGAGCGAGGCCTTGGCGGTCACATAACGCAAGACGTCACCGTATCTCCCGACGACAAGTTGGAAACCCTTACTTAACGAGGCTGCCATCAACGACCCACGTCACAAGTAGGTCAAAGACTTTAGAAAAAAGCATCTGTGATTAATAAACTTGTATAGTAATGGTAGCAATGAAATAAAAATGTGCTTTCAGGAAAAGATTACCCTACAATTAGGTAATTTAAGACAATTAATAAAAGTGGAGATAATTTTCTATATTATCCAAATTGTCGTTGGCAATAAAATATAAAACTTAGGCTACCAGGTAGTAGGTAGCTACCAACCAGGGAGGTACTACCGCCTGGGAAGATATTGGAAGCATAATGTGTTGTCTAATGGTAGACCCTGCTGCCATATGTGACCAAGTCCCAGGTTGATGATCTGACTTTCTGCCTCATTTACACACAACTGCAGGGTCTCAATTGTTTCTCTTACTATTGACAACACAACATATACAGTATATCGTTTCTCACTATTGATTTTTTTTTTGTGTATTATTTATGATCCTCTATTATTATAATTATTATTATTATTATTATTATTATTATTATTATTATTATTATATTATATTTTTATTTAATATTTTTATATTTTTTATTTATTTTTATCTATTTACTTATTATTATTATTATTATTATATTTTCGCCCCCAGGCCCTGATGTGGGTCATTGACCTGTGCCCGGGTGGACTGACCTCGTAAAAAATAAATAAACCAGCCATCGATTAACAACTTAACGGAGGAGGATATGTTTACACCAGTTAACTCACATGCTTCTCTGGCGAGTCTCGCACATTCCTGGTGAGTCGCACATTCCTGGTGAGTCTCACATTCCTGGCGAGTCTTACACATTCCTGGTGAGTCTTACACATTCCTGGCGAGTCTTACACATTCCTGGCGAGTCTTACACATTCCTGATGAGTCTTACACATTCCTGGTGAGTCTCATGCTGGACAGTGAGTGGTCATGGGTATCTAAACACTTAAGTAATCCGTCAAATACTATTGGTATCATACACAAGGTGATAAACTGTTACCACGTATCACTGAATACACTGTCATTTTTATCTCCAAATATTATATACACACATATATAATGCACAGTAAACAAGACAGTTATACAAAAATTAGTTTGGGAAGATAAGGACGTTATCAGTTAAAAGTAATTGACAAAAAACGTGGAGGGTAATATTTGATTATTTTTTTTCATAGTGTACAGAATTTAGGAAGTATTGTTTACACGGGAACGTGGGACAAACATTAGGCGGCCCACTGCACCAAACTCCACCGGACACGACACCCATAGAGGAGCAGCAACGCTCCCTTGAACAAGCCCACAATATCATACAAATGATGGACACTAGCCTGAACCCCCTCTCTTCCTGTTGGAGATAGAGCATGACGTCCAGCAAGAACTCCCTTTACTTGAGCTTTAAAACAAACACCCCGATCACCGGAACTTTTTCTCATATCGGGTCACAGTACAGGTCACAAGGCGGAGGAGCACACCAGTATAGCCCTCGTGACTCCCCACCACTACAGTAGGTTCAAAAGCACTGTGATGTTCTTCCACTACCACCAAGATGAACATAACCAACAACTGTTACACCCAGAGCCGTGTTAGAGGATGTCGTAGGGCCTTGGGCACTTTTCTATCGTAGGCTCAGTCTATTAATGTGCCCAAATTGTTCCCTTGGCAATGTGCTTCTCTTAGCATTATCGCTAAACTATAAATTTCTACCTATCACAAAGAATCGCTACAAGGATGACCCTGAATCTGTGATTACTGAGGAGTTTCTGTAAAGAGAAATGCTCCCCGACAATAAATAAGTGGCAGAATTACCGAAAACTCAGGTAGTCAACAGCTTTCCTCACGTGAATTTGGCTTTTAGAATATATTTGTAAATACTCATTACCACCCGCGATGATGAGAGGTCCTTTTCCAATCTTGAAAGGATAAAAAAAAAAACTCTTAGATTTACGATGGGCCAGAGTTGCTTCTCGTCACTGGCGTTCCTCAGCAGAGATAAGATTGATTCAAGTGGTAATAGTACAGTACATTACTCTATCGGGTCAACCAGCAATTATAGAACTATTTTCTACTGAAGACAAAGCTTCTTTAATACTGGTGTAAGATACAATTATTCAGCCAAGATTGTTTACTGCCAAAACAACCTATTAATCGCGAGTGTCGTTTATGGAATATATTAAACATTCCCTTAAAGTTTCCACCACTCAAAATATTTTTTAGAAACACTAACCAGATTCTTCCAGTATTGCTCACTTTTTCCCCTTTATTTTTCTTACACAATTATTCAACTTTCTTCTTACTGCAGTTTTATTCATATCTTCTTTCATAAATTATTTAAAAGGTGTGAAAAGATTCTAAATAAGTTCATTTTTTTCTGATATTCGAAATAATTTCTACAATAAGAAGTAATATTTAGACATCTCCCAAATTATTTACAAAATGTATTCATTGATAATAGTACTTTGACGTAAATAGTTTTCTTTTTTTACGAGGGCTCTCTCTGTGCTGAACAAAATCGTCTAGCAATAGCCAAATAAAATAGCAAAAGTGACGTCCAATGGTGAAAGATGGGGTTAAACTAATCAATAAATTCTTGCCGAGTTTTGCACTACTTAAAATACTTGGCACAGCACGACACAACAGAGTGCCGGCCGCCAGGTAGTACACCACAGTAGTAGTACTCACCAAGAGAAGAGCCGCCTTAGCCATGACCATTCACTAGCACAGTCGGCGGTACACTGAGGCTGCCATTGCCTGACCCAACCTCCTCCTCTACCAGCCCGCCCCAACCACGCCCACTTTACCTACTACCTCTGTCAACACTCACCCTCCACGTTTTAATTACTTTTGTGCTTTTTCTGCATACTGTGTGCTTGCGTGTATAACATATATGCAGGTAGTAGTAGTGCAGTATATCAATTAACCATGTCTCCAAACATTGGATATCCCTAAACCATCACCTAGGAAGAGAGTAGTTTAATAATCCATAGTAACACCAAGGCCGAGACAGATAATATGAACATCATGACACATACTCTCTATTTGCTAACTTTTCGGTTATTGCAGTAACCACCATCACTGCACTCTTTAAAAACCGAAACAACAATGTACTATGCAGATACACGAATAGAGGTTTACGCATTCACTTTGGTGGTAGAAGTATTAACTGGCAATAAATACCACTGCTTCACTATCAAATTCCGTCGTTATTTTCAATTTGCTATTTAGTTAATATAAATGGAGTAACCTGTACACTGTGGATATTCCAGTATAAGTGTTTCACAAAGGGATTATTAATTATCACTGTTACTTACCGGTCTTTCTGATGTTACCGCTCACCACTTTGCATGTTTTAAATCTAGAAATATCTAAACCAGGGGTGTCAAACATGCGGCCCTCACACTCTTACATGTGGCTCATTTGTTGCTCCAGCCTTACCTTGAAGAGCTAAAACTAAATAGTGAGTGTATCCCTCAGCTGAATAAAATAGTCCGCTGTTTCCTAGAACAATATACTCTATCAACATGACCAATGAGCTCCAGTGTGATTCTGTGTTGAGGAACAAGTTTTCGAGGTGTCAATTATCAGGAAGCAGCAGCAGCAGTAAACACTTAATTTGTTTTTTTTAAGTGTTTCCCACGAGCACAGACTAAATCCACCTTTCTTATTTTGTCATACTACTCACCTAAGAGGTTGTGAAGTGCTCATAATTATGTTACTTGGCCCACATACTGTGTACTCATATTAAATCTGGCCCGCCTTGGCAAATGAGTTTGACACCCCTGATCTAAACCATCTCAAACGTAATGGCTTAAACACTATCCCGACTCAATTGTCCGTGGATGTTGGCAACCCGAATCAACAGTCAGGTTTGAGAGCCTAAATAAAATTATATGATGCAACAAGGTACTTAGCTTGTATAGTTTAGAAGAAAACAAAAATTTTCGCCAATTTATACAAGATTTCCTAGTAATTTCGTAATTTAGTTGATTTGCTCATTGAAATAACTAGGCCTATAAGATTACACTACTAAATATTTTTAGATTTAATATAATTATTTAGTAATGCATACATATATCACGATACTTTTCGCGACACATTTTTCTAATTCAAGTAACAACTGGTTAAAACAAACCGCCAATTCAGTGTTATCTTTTTTTTTTTTATCCTCTTCGCCACTGATCGGCTTGTTAGCCGCTTGGGCGATCGGTCACGTCTCTTTTCCTTTATATTCTTCACCAAAAGGTCGGCTCGCTAGCCGCCCGGGCGATCGGTCACGTCTCTGTCACGCACTGTTGGCAAATACTGGGCATGCACCGGCTCCTGAATGTACCTGAACCCGCTCCAGTGTTGGTCAAGTCTTCTCTTGAAAGAGCTCACACTCGGTGCCGTCACAACACTGTCTGGTAGATTGTTCCAAGAGTTTACAACCCTCACTCCGAAAAAGTTTGCCCTCACGGTTTTCCGGACTTGCGGCTTCTTCAATCTTGAGCTGTGACCCCTTGTGGGGCGAGCGTCCGCCAGCTCCAAGTAAGGACACTCAACTGAGTAGTGCCCCCTGAGATGATTATAAACCTCAACTAGGTCCCCCCTTGCCCGTCTGTAGTATAAGCTCGGCAAGTTCAGGCGCACCAATCTCTCAGGGTAGCTGAGATGCCGAAGTGCAGGCACCAGTTTGGTGGCCCTCCTTTGAACATTTTCAACCAACTGACAGTCCCTAGCATATCTCGGGGACCAGATGGGGTGACAGTACTCCAGATGGGGAAGCACTTCACTCCTGAAGATCGTCACGAGGGACGGACCGTCTAGATATCTGAACGACCTTCTTATAAGACCCAATAATTTATTTGCCTGATTTACCTTCTTCTCACAATGGCCCGAGAACTTCAGCTCATTGTCAACATACACACCTAGGTCCTTCTCACACACAGTCTCAACTAGTACATTTTCTTCATCCCATTGGGACATATGGTACGCCTCCTTACCGTTGGTACGCCCCAGGTGCATCCTCTTACACTTCGTGACATTGAATCTCAGCAGCCATTCCTTCGACCATTCCTGGAGCCCACAGAGGTCCTTCTGCAGCTCTTCACAGTCCGCTTGGTTCTTAATTTCCCGAAATAACTTGGCGTCATCGGCAAACATTTGTATGGAGGAGTGTACAACGTCAGGCATATCATTTATGAAACAAACAAACAACAGCGGGCCCAATACACTACCCTGCGGTACCCCACTTGTTACAGGTACAGATGACGATTTCGTGCCATTAATCACCACACATTGCTTGCGGTCATGTAGAAAGTCTTCTATCCACGCTAGGACATTTCCCCGAATTCCGTACCCTTCCAGTTTGATTTTCAGCCTTTCGTGGGGTACACTGTCGAAAGCCTTGGCAAAATCTAGGTAAATATTGTCGATATTACCACCCCGTTCTAGAATATGGGTCCAAATATCCAATACCTTGAGCAATTGTGTCAAGCAAGAGCGCCCCGGCATAAAACCGTGTTGGCAATCTTTTACAAGGTTGTTTCGTAGTAGATGTTCCATCGCTGCATCTCTGATAATACTCTCAAGTACTTTACATATTATGCTGGTCAGGCTCACCGGTCTATAGTTGTTCGTGGAGTGCCTATCGCCCTTCTTGAAGATAGGACTCACATAAGCCACTTTCCATTCACTGGGGACCATTTGTTCATCCAGGCATTTACAAAACAGAATCTTCAGGGGCTCTGCAAGCTCGTTGCACAGCTCCCTTAGCACTCTAGGATGCACCATGTCAGGTCCAGGACTCTTATGGACCTTTAGCCTGGACAGTTTATTTCTAATACCCTCTTCTGTGAACACAATGTGGGTCAGTGCTGTGTCGAACCGTCTGTCCTCAAACGCAGGAAGGTTAGTTGCATCCTCTCTTGTGAACACTGAGGAATAGAAGCTGTTCAATGCCAAGTTAATTAGTTATGACAACTTGCATCATTACCTTATAAGAGTACACAATCAAGTTTAACTGAATTAAGGCATAGTGGGTTTACCACTGTAGAAAAAGTTCAAATTACTATTCATTTTTTTGAGATCATCGGTGTATAGTTTATAATTTATTTAGTAAAATTTTCTGCGCAGTATACTCAAATTTGGGTTTATCTAGTTTTGTTATTGTTATTAATTTTAAGTTTGTACAGTATTATGATTACTCATATGGTTCTTCCTTTACACCAACTGATTAAGTTTTTCTTAAAGAAATGTAGTTAAAAAAAAATTAATTCTGAACACTCATAGCATATGCTTGGTAGCACCATTAATTTTTCTATAATAACAATATGTGATACACAGAATACAACACATCGTATTGATTACACAGTCAGAAGGACCAAGCTTACCAAATGAACATTGCTTTTTTTGTTTTTTATTGGGCACCTCCCTACATCCTTGTGTAAGGTGAAGCGTTTACAGTGCCCAACAGGGAAGCATGCTAAGTTCATGCTTGCCTTTATGTCTCACGAGTTAAGGGCGTAGAAGCCTGAAGAGTCAGAGGTTTATGTCAAGTTATTGTTAACTCCAACAACTTTCCCTGAATACGAATTCGCAACTTTCGACTTACAACAGATACCTACTTTACTGCTAGGTAAACAGGGACTAAGAAGTAAGTCCAAACAACTTCCACCGGCCAGCATTGCTTCAGTCATTGATCTTTGCAAAGGTAGTCAGACCCGGGGGGGGGGGGGCGCAGAAAATTTTTTGTCGACTGAACAGTACCTGTGTAGAAACTATAACTATTTTGCACTCCCTCAACCTCCTCATTCTTTCTCTTGATTGTTAACTGAAACAAGTACTGTACCTGAATGCCCTGAAATCAAAGACCAATTCATTTTGGAACTTAAGAGTAGAGCATTGGACTCGCGCTCCCAAAATCTCTGATCCTTATGTAATACAGCAATATTTGGGGCCCTGGATCCTGCACTTTTTTTTTCGCCACTTTGCTTTACTCATCAGTCAAGGTGATTTCACACTGAAAAAGTTGAGCGATACCGAATACCTCTCCGTCATCACTCAACTGACGCCCCGAAACTGTATTTGCCAAATTGTCACCCAAGAATTGACTGTTAAGTTTTAATATATTGACTGGCAATTAGCTCCCTTTGTCATTAGGTAGAATAGCAGTTGGGTATAGAAATCCCCCTGCTTAACACTTACCACTGATGTATTCTCTTTTTCACCAAACAACAGGGCTGGATACTCGTTGGACTCAGTTGATGTATAAGGTAGGAGACAGTTAACAGTGATGGCATTAATTGTTCCACTGTTGGTGTGACACTCAAACATTCATGAAATCTAATTGGATTACCACTTTTGTTTTCAATGGCATTGTTTGCAAATGATATACTGGCACTTTACACGGTTAATTCAACCCACAGGGTACCGCGGAAAGTGAGAAACGCGTAAAGTGAACAACATAACATATGGGATTAATTGAAATAGAGACCTGGCCGACCCCCAAACTCCACTTTTTCAGACACAATACCTACGTTGTAGTAAAAATAACTTCTTAATTTTATGATGGTATGCACACACAATTAATAATTAAGAGAAATATCAATAATATTAGGTTTGTTAACACTCACATTAGTAGAAAAGATGGCTGGGCACACGGGGATGGGGGGTTGGTTCCGAGGCAGAGGCCAGATTATTGGCCCTCACCTGTATCACTATCCACCACAGAGGCTTGCAGGGCCTCTTTGTCAAACCCCTCAAAGTCCATATCCTCACTATCATTATCACTGACTTGGGCCGGCTGTGGTGGGTGGCGGGTGAAGAACTTGGTAATGTTTTGATGACTGGGCGACCTTGTGCGCACCCTGCTTGCGCCGCTTACACAACATGGCGGGAGGTTTGGATCAAAAAATGGCGCGGCTCGCCAGCCGCTCTCCGCGTAAAGGGGTACACTCACCGCGGAATGTGAGCATTCCGGTTTCGGTAGGGTACCGCGTAAACGTGGAAACGCGGAATGTAGGACCGCGTAAAGCGAGGGTTGACTGTATGTATATATATATATATATACATAATATATATATATATATATATATATATATATATATATATATATATATATATATATATATATATATATATATATATATATATATATATATATATATATATATATATAAAATGTTACAATTTATGCGGAATCAATTATTTTGCAAAATAACTTAGACAACCTAAACTAACCTAACCTTATGGTTAGGACAGCACAGTCCACAGTTATTAAAAAGAAAAACATAACAAAAACATGACCACTTCGCTGTGCATCAAGCTACACGAGCCATCCTAACCTAATTCAACCATAAGGTTAGGTTAGTTTAGGTTGTCTGTCTTATTTAGCAAAATTACCAACATGCATGAGACATTTCACAAAATAAACGACTCCGCAAAAAAAGTAACGTATATAGAAGAATTACAGTCGGTAATCTTTTCACATTCTGAGAAGTGTTTTAGCTAAATAGAACTTTAGTAAAATTCATCATATATACAGACATTCATTAGTTTAGCACAGTGTATGTACATAAACAGTAAAGGCAAGCAATGTCAATATACTGTACTGTAGTAAGTCCACTCAACCTAGAACAGTCTAAGATTTGTAATAATTATTTAAATACCTGTATTCATAAATATTTTCATGATCCCATATAAATCAAAAGACCAAAAAAAACTTCTTTAATATCATTTCAAGTAAAAATATCACAATATAACATTGCTTACTAAAACTGGAATAAAAAAGTATGATTTATGAAAAAGGTTTTAATTTTATAATTCTATATACTGTAATCAATATACAGTAGATAACATATATCAAAACATTTGAATACATGCAAGTATACATAGAAATTCACAAAAATTCTTAATAAATTCAACAAGTCTTCAATACAATTTCAGAAAAAAAAAATTTTTTTGGCCCCCTGCTGACAAGACAGATAACCTCCTTGGTGATGCTTTGGAGTAACAGTGAACGTCGGTGTTTTTTTAACCCACTGTGCATCAACACCAGCTACAATCATTCAACACTAAGGTCACTATGATTAACACACAAACCCTATTGCAAGGAAACCAATATAGAATTCTCTGTTCTTTGAGGTTGTGTATCTTTTATTATGAGCCACAGTACTGTATAAATAGCACCTACCACAAGCTGGATAAGATGCCAATACTTTGCAAGATGTCCAATGCAGTACAGTATAAACAAGCATATTGGCAGTAATTTCAATCTATAGTAAAATATTCACATTACTGTACTTATATTATACAGTATGAACATGTGAAGGTTTAAAGAAGACAATGAGCAGGCTTCTCAACTTCCATCATCTTTACATTGGAAAACAAATTTGCTTAAAAGCTAAATAGCAATTTTGATATTGAAACTGGGTGCATTATAATATTAACTTAAAGATGATATTACATATTACAATTAAAATTAAGCTGTTTATTGCAATGCCTAAATAATATATTTGTATTTTTTTAACAGTATCCACCCATAACACAGATGCTAAAGATGAATATATAAATAAATAAAAATTTATATTACAGGTTTTGTTTTTTCTTAACAATATGTAGTATGTTCCCAAATTCCTTGTTTGAGAATAAAAATAACCAACCATTCTTCTAGCCTACAGTCCGTTCCTTTGAGAAATTTAAAAATAGCCATGTTCACACATTCTTGTGTTGTGACTACCAGTCATTGGCTGGATCAAGATACCCAAAGTTTCAAATCATAGTTTATATCACTGATTATAAAAAACCTTTAAAGGAATAAAAGCAATATTCTTACATTTTTCTTAGACAGGCACATTTGGCATGATACAGATACCATTTTCTGCCATACATGCCAGTCAAGTACAAAAGAACTGTTAAACAACAAGGTGCTATATATTTGTTGATCTCTGCTATCAAGGAAGCCAATAACAAAACACACATGAGAATGTGGGTGTAACTCTTTCTACATTTTCCTAAGAAACAGACCATAGTAACCCAGCGATTGTTTTTAATTAAGAATTCTAAAAATTCTAAGTAAAAAAAGGAAAAATATTTTGTTTTAAAGCAATTATTCTAGATATTTGTCATAATTAGTTACACCATGACTAGAACTTTCTCTTCTTGTTAGGGAAATGGCCACCTCTTCCTCCAGATTTTCGCTTTCTTCCTGCATTAGCACGAGCTTTGGATCGGGCTTCCTTCATTTTCTTGAACTGCTCCTCCTCCTCTTCCCCTTCCACCAGTCGTAATTCTGAATCCATGTCCTTTACCTGGAAAGGAACAATATATTTTCAAATGAGTGACATCCATATAAGAACATAAGAATGGGGGAAACTGCAGCAGGCCTATTGGCCCATACTGGGCAGTCCCATTTACACCCAACCCCTATTGCTCATATAAGCATCCAACCTATGTTTAAAGCTATACAGCATATTCAAGTTAATGATGATATTTACCTGGTTTGGTGCCCAAGTGTAGTGGAAACGGCCCACAGCAAGAGATTTTACATTATAATTACTGAACTGAACTTAATTCAGCCATTTATAAGGTTAAATCTATTCAACAATGGCAAAAGACTAAAGCTTTGAGCAATACAGAGAGAGAGAGAGAGAAAGAGAGAATTATAAGGTAGCCCAAATGCTGACACCCTACAAGTACAGTACTGTACTGTAGTGAGAAAGAGGCAAGATCAATCACTATACTGTACTGTACCTTTAGTTTTCCCTCCAGTTTCTCCATCACTTGTTTGTTATAGTCTTCTTCCTTGAAGCGCAGATAGCCTTTCGTCATCCCTCGGCTGAAGTCAATCCAGGCACACTGGTCTGCAATATCTCCCAATGCCTCTTTTATGTCTTCCCTTGTTGCTTCAGATCCCTCCTTCAGGCCAGAAAAATGAATGAAAATGCCCTTGGGACTCTCAATCTCTGTGGCATCCTAGAAAAAAGGAGGAAACCTCATAAACCAGCATTAATTACAGCCATTCAGAGTACTGTACAGCAATTGAAACCCAAAGGTCAGGTCACATAAAAGTCTCGAGTTGATGGATTAAAAAATAGAAGCCAGTTTTCGAACATAAAGCACATTCTTTATTTTATTTACAGTGACAATCTTAATAGGGTATGGAAATAAAACCTGAGTATCCAACACAAGAAATAAAAGAGGAAATGATTTCTTGAAGATGGGCACTTGGAGTAAGCAGAGATAATGCAGAGAAAATAAAAATGTGTGTATGGATGATGTCTGTCAGCATGAAGAGATTAGGATTTTCATCAGCACCTTCTTACAAATGACAAATATGTGAATAGCCAAATTCATCATTTTCAAAAATGCAAAAATCCATTACCCTTCTCTCTGTCTGGTTCCCCCACCTAAATGTTCCTGGATCTCTGGCATGATATTTCATGAAATGTTTCTTAAGGTACAACTGAACCCTCTCTCATTTGATATTTAAGATGAATCTGATATTTTTGTCAATACACGTGTTCCTGCTAAAATTCCAAAGGTGAACTGGGACCAAAAAATGGGAATAAAGTAGGAAAAACAAAACAAAAAATACTGATTATCATACCAAATTATATATTAATCAACGTAAGTTCCATGCAAAATTTCAATACAGTTTACGATGCCTCTCTCAAGTTATTAAATGAAAACACTTTTTCTATGTGGAGAGGCAAATAAATAACCCTATGTGCCCTCCTAATTCCTATGGTCAGACACAATATATAATGGATATAGGTTCAGTGAACAAAAGTCTGCTAATGAGAGAGAAATTTAACAGGGGTAGAGAGACTGGGGTGGAACAGTGTATGATAGTAAATGACATGGATGAAGAGCAAAAACTCTGTAATTACCTATGGACAGAATGGTATGAAGAAAATTGTATGAGACAATGTTCTAAACTCACCTCTTCCTTGTTATCCTCTCCCTCCTTTTCTTCCTTCTTCTTCCTTGCCTCTTTCCTGGCTTTGCGCTCCTCGATTTCCTTCTTTTTCTCTTCTACATAATCTTCATGCCACTTGCGAATTAAATATGTACCTTTAAATTTAACCTCCTTTACTTCTTTAAATTCCTTTGCTTTCTCCTCTGTTGGGAACACCACAAGAACTGAACCCTTGAAGCCCTGCTTCTTCGATTCCTTGTCAAAGAAATGACGCATCTGAAAAATAAATTAATATTTAAAATGCAGAACAAAATTACTCCAACACCACTAAGACTGGAATTTTATCATATCATGGCAGTGTTTAGGGATGATTCAACAAGAGGCTTTCCTTCAAGACACAAATTTGTAGCTGGTGTATAGTGCAAGGAATTCAAGATTCTCCCCTCTTCTGACTCCTGTAAATAAACCAGCTTCAGCACCACAGCCAGCACTAAACACAATCCAGGGATAAAGGTTATTCCTCATGACGAGTGTCTTCAGGTTCGCTATAGCCTCACGATTACCTGCGCATACAGCCCGCTTAAAGCCAAACATCCTGCAATCTGCCTTTTACACCCCAGTACCTCTTCTGCACTTCCTTCCACATTCACTGTAGACATTTTTTACAGCGAGTTAGTTTTCCCCAATTCCGTCTCATATCATCCTTCCATTTCCTAAATATCTCGTACCTCTTGAGTACTATCTGCTATCAAAGTTATCAGTATATTGTACTGTACAACAACTCACAGGGAACGTTAGTTCTAAAATCCTGTGAGTGCCTCTAGCAACATTATAAAGATAATTTTTTGTTGCACATGAGAAAAATATTTAATTTTAATTTTTTTTGCACACAATTGTTTTTCCTCTTAAAAAAAAAAGGCATCAAATAATTGGGCTTAAAATGGTTGAAAATATTTCAAGGTACGTAACACTGTAAATTTCAAATCCCTGAACCCAAATCTTCAAGTGAGTGAGTACCTATTGTATACTGAACCTTGTTTCTAACATATACACTTAATTGGTAATATACAAAAGAAGACCAATACACACCAGTACAGTTTCATACGGTCCATACTGCTTGAAGTACTCCAGCAGATCATCTAGTGAGACTGAGCCATCTTTAGGGAAGCCCTTGCAATAGATAGTGCGCTTCATTGTCTCTTCCTTCACCTCATCATTAAAGATAGGGAGTGGGTGTGAAGGAGCTCGTCTGATTTTTTCATTATTCTCATGCACCTGGAGGCATAAAGCATATAATCAATTATACTATTACAAAATTCACTATTTTATCAAAATTAAAATCTACAATATAACATTACTCAGTACCTTACAGTAACATGCTCCCACAAGTTTTGCTATTATCAATATAAAAACTATATTATACAGTAACAATAACTAAAGCCCCTGTAAAGCAGTATTGTCAAAGTATTCATTCTTTATAAACTTGTGTGAAATTATAGTAAAATATAAAATCACATTAACATCTGAAGATTTTTTCTGCATTGAACTAATATATCGATAAAGTATAACCCCACAAATTCATTTCCATCACTGACATTTAAAAATGCACAGCAAAAGGTTTATTTGAAAAATCTGGTACAGTATTTGATAACTGAGATGCACTTCAATTTTTCACCCGTCTACAGGGAGCTCTGTGATTCACTGCCAATGCCAACAAATGCGGCATCAAAGGGCATGGGTCACTCATTAGAAAGTGGTGAATAAAAAAATATGAGACTAGTTCCTGCTTGACTACCCTTTCCCATGGGCTGTGAGCTGGCTCTCATTTGGGTACGTGAGAGCATTGTCAAAGGTTACAACACAAAGATAAATTACATATCGTATATTATGTACAGTACATGTTGATAATTTTATTGTCCGTATGACAATATCTACATCATATACCCTGTATATACAGGTATTTGTACTGTGCTGTACAGTACATGCATTATGTATTCAATCCACATTTTTATTAGAAAAAAATTATCATTTACCATTGTTTCATAGTTATTGAAAAATTGGTAATTTTTTTTGTGTTAAAAGTATTTTTGTAACGAAAGCTTTTGTGAAGCCATACAGTACAGTATATAATGGGGAATGCCTCCCTATATTCTACATATATTTCTTTGTCTGTTTTAAGTGATTTTAATGTTATGAATTTATGAAACAGCAGAATTATAATAACTTACAAACTATGAAAGTTTTAGTGTAGTAAGACACAGTGCAATCTAAATATTTAGGGATTTATTGAGCAATTGAAAGAAATATTAAGGTCAGGAGGAATATTTACACATACCATATTTTTTTTTAGCTACAAGCTAATTCTAATAAACCAAAGTAGAAAACAGTTATGACAAGTAATATAGCTACAGTTGGTAATGTGGTGCCTTGCCAGGGTTGTTATGATTTAAATCAAATGATTTAAATCACATGATTTAAATCGATTTAAATCGGAGTAAAAAAATCATGATCTAAATCAAAATGATTTTTTTACTAATAACTGTTTCTCTTTTTATTCTCCATGATTGAAAAGTATATGCAATGCAGCAAGCTAATAACATTATTTGGATTCACATAATTATGTACTGTACTATAGTCTGTTCTCTCCAGTTTCGCGAAACTTTGATCATATCATAAGGTCTCATTATTAATGTATATATTTACATGAAATATATTGTTAACTAAGAAAATAAATACTTACTCCATGGATGGATGGAGTAATGTCCATGATGAGCTTATAGTATGCATAACTTTAACAGCGGACAATCGTATTTATCTTGTTGACTCTATACACACAGAATCAAGACACAGCTGAATATCTGTTGAAATTAGCTGATTGTGCTACAAAAAAGTGTGAAGACAAATTTTGATGCACAGTATGAAGCTGTGTAACAGATAATGCTGCTAATATGGCAAAAGTGAGAAGTGAATTCAGACAAGATAAATCCATTATAACATATGGTTGCTCTGCACACCTGTTAAATTTGCTTTCACAAGACCTGCAAATCAAGAACATTAAGGAGCACATGACTGAAATCATTAAGTACTTCAGAAATCATCACATCCCAGGATCTTTGTATAGAAGAGCAGGAGGAACAATGCTAGTAATGCCATCAGACACACGATGGAACACAGTGACAGATTCTATTGAATCTTATTTAAAGAACTGGGAGACCCTTGTCAAAGTGTGCAAGGAAAATAGTGAAGACATTGATAAGAAAATTGAAAGGAAAGTTTATGATAAGGCATTAAAAAGAACTGCAGAAGACTATTTAGAGAGACTTAAGCCTATTGCTGTGGCATTGGATTGTGTCCAGAGAGAACATACCCTATTAAGTGATGTTGTAGAAATCTGGGTAAAACTGAAAACTGATATTAAGGAGTATTTAACAGATAAGAAGGATATGGATAATTTTGAAAAAAGAATCAAAGTAGCATTGACACCAGCCCATTTTCTAGCTAATGTGATAGATCCAAGGTATCAGGGCAGACATCTGACTCCTGAGCAGCGAGACATTGCAGAACAGTATGTGTGCGAGTCTCTTCCACATTTCCTTTCAACATTAATGTCCTTCCATGGAAGAAGTGCACCATTAAAAGAGGTCTATTTTGGTAAAGATGTTGCAAAATCTCTCTCACCCCTTGCTTGGTGGCAGTATTTTGCCAATGATATGACAGAAAATGTAATGGATGTTCCTAGGCAATTATTTACAGGTGTTGCATCATCAGCAGGGGTTGAGAGAATTTTCTCCACATATGGATTTGTACACTCAAAGGTAGGAAATCGCCTAGGACAGGAAAAGGCATCTAAGGTTGTCTCAGTACATAAACATTTCAATGTTCAACTAAGCTAATTTAAATGTTTTGAACTATTTTTGTTGTTTACAGAATGAGAATATTGTGTTGACTTGAAGTTATTACTGGTAATTCTTAATACACTATAATTCTACAAATGTAAGAAAATAAACTTGTTACCAGTATTATTTTTTTTACAAAATGAGAATATTATTCTGCTGACTTGAAGAAGTTATTAATTTTTCAAACACTGTAATCCTATAAGAGCATTTATGTTAAATTTCATTATTACGTTTGGATTTGTCCACTCAAATGTAAGATATGTTACCAGTTTTCTTTTATTTTACAAAAAGAATATTATTGTGTTAAATTCCATTGGTACATCTACTGCATAAATATCTTCATACCAATTTTCTGTTTATTATCCTGAATAAGCTTTGGTTGAAATATAGTTTTTATGGTTTAAAAATACTATTTTAATGCAATTAGTAAATAAATAAAAAAAATTGATTTAAATAAAAAAATCCGATTTAAACCAAATAAATCAATTTTTTTTTAAATCATGATTTTTTCCAACCCTGTGCCTTGCTTACCTCAATAATGCCATTGGTAGCTTTCTTCAGAGCAGCAGATATCACAGAAGAATCCGTGGATAAAGATGCCAAGCGTTTAAACTTTGTCATAGTCTCTAGAGAAATCCATCCATCATCATTCTTTATCTGTAACAGATTCATAACATTACTAGTCTTGTTAACTTATTGGCTTGAACTGTAATTTATAATTTTAACAATAAATCACCCATAAAATCTGGATGTCTGATACAGCAACAATCTTGGGAAAATTTTCAGGATAACTGAAGGTACCAGGATTCTGAGTCGCAGATTCTTGAGACAGTACTGTAAAACTACATTCAGTTATAAACGGTATATATCTGACCACAGTAATATGAGATCTTGTAGCAGAAGTGTGTTAACAAACATAGGGGTCTGTTGGGAGTGATTATATGTATACAAGAGGAAATGCACCAAAAATCACCCAAAGAATACTAAAACTAGGGTAAGAAGCCGAGAAGTAAGCTCAAGTAGGAGAATAACACAGTTTTATGGAGGGTAATTATGACGAGTCACTATGACAGGGATTTAGCTGTCCCTGCTGAACAACCCAGTTCTAGATGGGTTTAAAATCCCATTAAATCTAGATGGGTTTAAAATCCCATTAAGGATTCCAATAATCATATATATAGCACAGAAGAGCCAATAATAAATCATAAAAACAATAATAATAACTCCTGTGGGAGGTTACACGGTGTAAACTTCCAACAGGGGACTTTCTGAAATTCAACACTACACAACTTTCTGCAAAAGGAAATGAAACATCCTCTCCTTTGCCTCATGTCACATCTCTCATCTGCCATAAAACTTTTACTGTAGCTAGCCAACAGCTCAGGTTAAGGAAGCACTCACACAATGTAATACAGTATAACCATATCATGTTTATAATAATTAGCACTTAGGACTGAGAGATGTACAGATATATCAATTAATTTTTGTTGATTATTGCAGCATGGTAACAGTCAACATTCTATCATATGAAACTCTTGGGTGCATGTACTGTATTGTCAACCCAAATGCTGAACACATCCATCCTAAAAAAAAGTGTGACGAAGATATGAGTTGCTTCCTCTATGGCAAGTCATTTTTGAGACCAACAAAGGGAGGTTGAAGCATACCCCTTTATGCTCAGCAGCAAAAACTCCCACCTTCACCTTTTTGGGGGAACTTACCACAAAAGTAAAAATTTATCTAATTTTCAAATTATATTAAATTTTTTAGACCCCCACTAAAAAATGGAAATTCGACGCAAGTGCAGTGTAAGTTAAATGGGGAGATGAAAAGGGAGAGAAAAAGGAACAATTAAGATGAGAAAAAGAGGAAGAGAGGGATAATGGCAATGAGATACCGGGTAGATGGGTAAATGAGACCAAGAAGAGTTAAGGAGAAGAAGGAATTAACTTCACACTCACCTCCTCCTGAAGGAACTTGTCTCTTGGCAAATTATAATCGCCAAAGTAATACTCTATTTGGCGAATAATCTTGCTATCCATATCTTGAGGCTTATCAGCATCAGCTGTCTTGCCGTTGGTGGCCACTTCACCCTCAGTCATAATGAGAGGTAATGTAGACACTTCTGCAACATAACATTTATTACTGCTTAAAACAGATAATTATTTATCCCCAACCATTGTATTCCCAACTAAATTCATTACCACGACTGGATTAAAAGTTTCATAAACCCTAGAAACGAACATACTGTACAGTTATTTCTATATTTACAAAAGGAGTGTATTCCCCCCCCCCCAAATCTCCTGGATCCAGTATACTGTATAGCTGCCATATACAAAAATTTTTAAAGTTAAAGTTTTTTTACTATAATAAAGCAATTATATTAAATACTGTACAGAAAACTCTCCATTAGCTAGAATCTTTAATAACTGGAACTCTCCAAAAGCCAAATTTTTTTTTAGTATTCCAAGAAATTCCAGGAAAAACCTCTCTGTTCTGGGTATCTAAATGAATTTTTGACGATTGCATCAAGCGCGCTTCCAGAAATTTTGAAAAAAATCTCTGTTCCAGGCATGGGAACAAATCTTCAAGAGATTGCATCATATTTCTGATGCAGGTAGGCTGCATGGGATGCCTACGACTTGCTGATATCTCACAGCCAATCTCCTCATACTTTTGTATCATGACAGACACTTTTAGTTCGTTGTCTGCTGCCATTGTGCAAGCTTGTTTGCTCACTCACTGCTGTTTTCGCATATGATCTGTGTTGTACTGTACTGTACTGTACATTGCAGTGTTAAGACATAAATAAGTGATCAGTTACATATACAGGTACTTCTCGACTTACGACCGCCCCAGTCGTATCAATATTTTTTCAAATTACGTATTTTCGAGTCCCGACGTTAGTGATTGCGCTGTGTACTGACAACATTTTTGTTTGTAATTCCCTTTAAAATGGCTGGCAAGCTTAAAAGCGAGAGTTTTGTGGTGCTGAGAAGAAAAAGAGACACCCATTTTAGATTTTCTATGTATTATTTTCTCATTTTCGACCAATTTGACTGGATTTGGGTCCCTAACCCTGTCATAAGTCGGGAACTGCCTGTACTGTACTGTACACAGAGTAAGTGTAAAAGTACCATGTGTACAGTGCTGTTCGGTACACAGCAGTGGACAGTGTAGAGGGTGCACGACTGCACGTACAGCATACAGCTCCTCCCCGACTTACGACGGGGTTAGGGACCCAAATCCAGGTCGTAAGTTGAAATGGTCCTAAGTCGAAATTGCTTAAATAATACATAGAAAATGGGTGTCTCTTTCTCTTCTCAGCACCACAAAACTCTCACTTTTAAGCTTGCCAGCCATTTTAAAGTGAATACCAAACGAAAATTTTGACTGTGTACTGTCGTTAGGACTCGAAAATACGTAATTTGACAAAATTTTGGTACGACTGAGGCAAGTCGTAAGTCGGGGAGGAGCTGTATTGTACAGTACATGCACAATCCCTCCTTCAAGGAGGGAGAGAAGAATGACAGCAACACCTACAAGAGATGGTACAGGACAGAGGCAGGCCATCATGTACTGTACAGTACAGGTATCATCATACTGTATCACCATTTGGCCTGCCTGTATTACAAGCTCAAGATGACAGCATCCGCTGGTGAGTACAGGATAGTGCATACAGTAGTACAGTGTTTATTTACACTACTCTACAGTATATTGCATGTGTACAGTGGTGTTTGCATAAATAAATACAGCTCTGTTCTGACTGTGAGATGCATAGTTTAAGCTCTCGGAAAACTTTCCCGTCGCTGAAAAAATTCAGGGGATGAAAAATTTGTCTCCATAACCAGAAATCTTTCAAACCCAGAACTGCTCTCAACCAATTATTCCCGTTAACGGGGATATTGCTGTAGTAGCTTTCATAGGCCCAATGAGGTAGGTTTCTTATAAACTTTCATTACCGTGTGCCAATATTTATTATGTTTACCTTCCCAATTAGCTGTATACCTGAATTACCTTACTTTTAGATCATATTTATTACTGTAAATTCTTATGTTTAACTCTAAATTAAGTTTTATTCACCTCACAACTTTGTTATGGCAAATCTGAAGGAAGTTCAGGAAACTGGCTTCAAGGCACCCAGATGTGGAAAAGTCTGAACTAGCTTTGTGTCATGTTGAGGACACAGTGGTCTCCTTCTTCAAACATCAGTTAATGATGAGGAGGAGAGATGCCCCACAAAAAAAAATTGACAGTTTCTTTAGTAAAAGGCAGCGGGAACAAGATGCTAGCCCTCAGCCTTCCACTTCATGAAGGAGAGAGGATGTTATTGGTGGAGAATCTGTCAGTCCAGAGGTTCCTGACATTTTCATGGAAGGTGACTCGCCTTCCAAGAAGCAGTAAAATGCTTCTCCTCCACCTCCACTTCCTTCTTTTCTCCCTTCTCCTCCACCCTCATTCTAATTCCCATCATCATCCAGGAGCCTTCTACATACACACCTCAAAGTAAGTGTACCTTTCTACCATTTTTGTTGAATTTAGGCAATTTTCGGTGAGCTGGAACCAATTACCCAAAAACCCATTGAAACAATGGTTTCGGTTAACGAGTTTTTCGGTGAACTAGCAACCTTCTAGAACGGATTGTGCTCGTTAACCGAGGGACCACTGTATTGGTCATTCTGAAATTTATTTTACATATTGACAATATATAGTGCAGTGCAATGTTGATTTAAAGAAAATAATCTTGAATTACATCTAGTGAACTTAAAATTTTATGGGTGAAATGACAGCATGAAGCATGGGGTGATTTCCTTCTTCCACCCCCACTTCCTTCTCTTCTCCCTTCTCCTCCACCCCCACTTCTAATTCCCATCATCATCAACCAGAAGCCTTCTACATACACACCTCAAAGTAAGTGTACTTTACTGCATTTATTTTTCCTTTGTATGTAATTTTCGGTGAGCTGAAACCAATTACCCAAAATCCCATTGAAACAATGATTTCGGTTAACGAACGACCTTCTGGAACGAATTGTGTTCGTTAACCGAGGGACCACTGTATTATGCCGAGGCATAATTTTGAAATACAATTTTGTAAACTAGTGTTTTGATTATTTTCTATCCCAACCAACAGTTACTTTGGCAAATTTAGTAAAATTTTTGTGTCTATGTTGATGTATATTAATTATGTAAGAATTTTCTGGAATGTAATGCCCTTGAAATGGTGATGGGAATAAACGCGGTGACAAAACGGGTAAAAACAGTGGTGATGAATCGGGTTGGTGACGCAATGGGCACGGCCCCAAATCAAGGGCGGTCCTAAAATGTATAAAACATTGATGATATTTTGCCGTCACCTAATAAGTTCATACTAACGCTATTTTACCGTGATTGCGCTCTGATTGGCTAAATACTTTCTGATTAATATGAAGGGGGGGGGATGGGGGTCTGCCACCTGGCCAGGGAGTTAGGTAAGGTTAGGTTAGGTCAGGTTTTATTAGGTTCAAGAAATGTCGCCTCTTTTATAATGATGAGAACATCTGTGGAAAAAATGAACTAAATCGAACAATTTCTGGTAAGGTGTTTAAAGACATTTTTCATCAGGTTGGTCCTCAGGCCAGACCACTCAACTTACCTCATATCTTATCATTAAAACAATATCTCAACTATACACCCTAGATTATTAAATGTTCTCTACCTCATACATACATAGAATTATCATCAATCTACAATTACTTATCCACTTATACTTACATCAATAAGCTGTGTTAACGTAGTGTAATTCACGGAGGTACCGCCTGTGTGTGTTAGGGGGGGTCCCGAGTCAGCGTGGGTAATGGGGGAGTTAGGGGCTACAGTCTCCTGCTTGCTTTATTTTTCACCCGTACTAGATTCCACTGATGGTGAGTTAGGGGATACAGTCTCCTGCATGCTTTATTTTTCACCTGTACTAGATTCCACTGATGGTGAGTTAGGGGATACAGTCTCTTGCATGCTTTATTTTTCATCTGTACTAGATTCCACTGATGGCGAGTTAGGGGCTACAGTCTCCTGGATGCTTTATTTTTCACCCGTACTAGATTCCACTGATATATTTTTATTTAATTCAGTTGATACTATCATTTCAGTCAAATTATTTCCTCTCTCCTTAATTAAATGGCCTAAATATATCACTGAATATTACTCCAAAGTCTAAATAAAAATAAAGCTATATTGAACACCGCCCCCTGGACTGGGTAAGTGTCCATTAATCTTGTACTTTACGGTCGATATCGCCATAATTTGAAGTCCACCATTATATAGAGGTGGTAAGAGTTTAGTACCATTGCCCGGTCTATTAACTAATGTATCTCAAAACTTCATGGTTAAATACAACTCTCAAAACACACTCCTAAAACACTTTCATCTGACTGTTTCTGAGGTACTGTTATAATTCAGATTTTTTTAACCATTATTGTTTCATTATTATCAAAACAATGATATGTGATAAATGATACAAAAAAAAATGCTTATCGATATTTAATTTTAAAATAAAACTAAAAATATTTTACTATACCAAGAAACATCACTTTCATTATTTTATAACCTGAAAAAATATTCCCATGGCAGTTAATTTAAGAAACTATCAGGTAAAGTTATATATAATGTATTCTGTTGTATGAAAAAATGTAAAAAAGAAATAAGATAAAAGTATTAAATTATCTCAAGAGTTGTTGTTTACATCAGCTGAGGAGAGGCCGAGGAGGAGACTTGGCAACTGAGCTGTAGGAATATTCTTTCAGTTTACCGTATATCACGCATTTAAAGTAATTTATACAGTCTTATAATTTGTTTAAACACATGATGATTTAGATAAGAATTTGAATATATATATAGTTTATTAATTGTGAAACTACGCTGCAGTTCAGGAATATTTCAAATTAGAATGTTTGTATACTAGTAACAATGGGAACTGTTAACTGGGTAGAATTCTGTGTGTAAATTATAAATAATATTGTATCCTGCAGTTTAAAGTTTATATTTTGTAACTTTTTATGCAGTAATAGCTTCATGCCTTTGTTTTAAGTGTACCTTAATTGTTGTGTCATTCCAGGGGAAGGGTTCAGCTTAGCTCTGTAGATTTATAATTCTGATTTAAATAAAAAAAATGTGAAATACCACAAACTTAACTTCCTATTTGTCATAGACTTCAGAGTACAGTATGTGATTTCATGAAATATATTTTTTACTAATAGTGAGTTGAAGACACCTCTCTTACCTCAAGGGAACTGCATATCATGTGTAGGATTTTGTAGTTTTTATATTTTTGTGCCAATATTTGCCAAAATTCTCGTGAAGATAAAAGCTTCTTAAATTCAATAAATAAAAAAAATGCTGGAGGAATGCAGTTTGCATCAGGGTTAGGGTCGTCTCGTACCCAAGATAAATAGTATACCCGAAAAAGTCAACTCGTACCCAACTCACTAGATAAGTCGTACCCAAGATTACTTACACCTAATTTAAGAGATACTCCATACCTATTAGTATATATACCGTGTATTTTAGCTTTATCTATGATTTCAAAAAAAGATTGTGTAAATCTTGTAGGAAAGTGCAGTGAAATTCGGGAAATGAAATGCAGGCTTTAAAATGGTTGCATCTCATTACATAAGTATGTTATTTCATCACACAAACATTGCACTACAAGTACATATTTCACACTATGTGGCTTAGAATAACTTTATTGCAATTTACTGATTTCAGGCTAATAGATTTGGCAGTTTCAATTTATAAACTGGGCGATGTAAACGTTTAAAATGGTCATAAGTCAACAAAATATAGACATGCATAAAAACATTGATTTTCCAGCTTCAGCTTTTTGTAAACAAATCAGTTAGTGTACAGTATATAATTCGGGGCTCCTCTCTGGTACTACTTCTGGCATAATGAACTTGTTCTACGGAGTGGCTGACATCGTGACATCGTCAGGAATTTCTTCTGACTAGTCAACATCAAGAATGAAATACAGTAGTAATAAGGATATAAAAGAACGAAGTGAGAATATTGGCCAACACATAAACAATTAGTTATGTTATGTATGTTAATGATACTCTGGATAGATTTGTTTAAAAGTCACGACCACACGGAAACAAGACCAGTATCAGTAACGTAAGGACTTGATTATGTGTCACCCAATAGTCACGCTATTTATATATTAAAATCAACCTTGTCCACGTTTCTATTGTGGATCTACATGATATATATCTACATGTTGGGTGCGAGTTGTCCAGCACACCTTTGCATTATTTCTCTTAAACTATTTTTTTTTTTTTGTGCAGAGAACTGCCTCCGTTTGCCATACAGTATTTATTTTACCATTGCCACAATCTCCAATTTATCATTCATGAGATGAGGAAACTGGCTTTACAAACCTAACCTAAAATACAGCACAGTATTGCAGTTATTTCCCGTTTCATTCTTCGAAAGTGGAATATATTCCTTTCTGCTAAAAAAAAACATTTCTGTATGTCAAAACTGATAGAAAAAGCAACTCTTTCCTCCTGTCTTTGGTATATGGAGTTCTTAATCCTGACTTTGGGTCAGGATCTAGAATGAGTTGATCAAGAATAAATAATTTGTATCTGATGATAGCAAAGTAATATGTGGACCATCTCTTATTTTGCTAAGAGTATATCCATTATGAGGATGATTGATGTGATTATCATATTTATTTACGTTTTAGACCACAATCACAAGTTTGGGGCTCGAATTTCAACCTCAAGATTTTCAACTAAAGTAGAATTTCTCAATCCTGACTTGGTTAAAAATGGGAATTCAAGATAATTTCTTTGTTTCTGAGACACCAAAGCTTCCACAGTTTGTAATGGGTTCTTAGCGAAATATTATTTTCTTATTGACCTGCAAAGTATTTACGTGGTTCACAAGTTTAGAGAACTTCACTCGACTGTTTTCCCGAGGACATTTATTCCACTGATTACTGTATTGGGACTGGGTACTGGGAATATTTATCTCAGGTTCCAAGGTAACACTGAGTCTCATTGTATGGGAGGGCTAAGGAATCTGTATTAGCCTCCTGACCTTCATGGATGGCAGTAATAAAATAAGTTGGTTAACTCTCTGAGGGTGTATTTCTGCCTAATCCTTAGAGCTTTTACAGCACCACCATCTCTATCTTTGTCGTACTGGCATATGATAATGAGAACCACTTGGCTATCATCATTAAATTTTCAGGATCATACAATTTTTATTTACTTCTTGGCTCATTTGTGCATATTTTACAGGATACCATTGCAGGTGTCATTCATAGGGGTAAGTAACCATTTTCTGGAATTTGGTGTTTGATTATTATAGTTGCTCTGTATTTCAGAGGTGGAGTGAAACAACAGCTACGTGGCAACATGTCCCAACAGGTCCAGCAGATGGTGGGTGGCCAGGTTATGCAGGGCCAAATGGTACAAGTACAGGGACAGGTCGTCTCGGGCACACAAGTAGTTAACAGTGCAGGTGATGATAGTAGTTGATTTCATATCTTTTTTTTTTATCTATTCTGGAACATTTTTAAGATTAAAAAGTTACTCTTACAATGAAAATTTGTCAGAAATTGAAGTTATTGAAGGTGTACCTTAACCTTACTTGCTGTAGTTACTGAATATATGTACATTTATGAATAGCACTTTATATATACAGAACAGTCGGAATCTACTAATGTACATCTGTAGATACACACATTTGATAATGGTATTGTACCACAGAATACCATTAATCCAATCTTGCATAATACATCTGTAGATACTTATATTGCGTGCATGCTGAACCTGTCCTCCCTCACGCACTCACTGATGCTCTTCCCTTGCCACACTTCGTTTATTTTGGTCGATTTGCTTTGGTCGATTTGCTTGGGATGCAGTCACAGCTGGTTGTGTTTCATTATACCTTACAGTAATATGAGCAAAGACAAAGAAAATTAAGATGATGCTGCATCTATTGCTGTTAAGAAGATGATACATGCTGTTATTCTTGATGAGGAAACTAGAACAATAGATAGTGTGAGAGCATAGTGTCTGTTGGCTGTGAGCTTGGGTTGGCCCATTCATTAGTAAATACCATACTGAAAAGTAAAGAACAAACTTAGTATGAAACATGTGAAGAGTGTAGCAGACAGCAGTAATTTGTCTTCTCTGTATTAATTCTCAAGGCCAATCTGCAAGTAACTGCTCTAATTTTAGTTGTCCATATTTCACTAATTTGTAATTATTAGAGGCAATTTCATGGAAAATTCTGGGATTTATCTCAGTTTATAACATGGATTTTTATGGGAAATTAATGTCCACTAATGTATGTCCAGCTAATGTACAGGCTTTCAGGAACACATCATGTACATTAAACAGACGCTGATTGTATGCTGTACCAGTACTGGATTTTGAAGGGCTACTGTATTGAACATATTGAAAAAAAATTTCATACAATAGTGAAAAAAAATGGCCAAGTTTAAGCTATCTTTCCTGCTTGGGAGATTGTCATGCAGTAGTTCTTTCTTGTACAATTTGGATTGCATTTACCCATGCATGTATCATTCAGAAGAAATTTTTATATTAATGGATACACAAAGTAAGTGCACTTAAAAGGAATTTAATTTATTAAGTGTTGCCGAAGGGATCCCATTGTAGTAGTTCCTCAATAAAATGTTCTTTATTCAGTTGTTATCCTTACTTTATTATTTATATGCTGTAACCATACTATACATTTTTTTATTAACATTGTTTTCTTTAGAATAGTGGAATTAGGAAAACCTCCCATCTTCCTGGAAGAATCTGATATTTTTTTTTTATTAATGTTGTACATACAGGTCAGGTGGTGATGTCAACCACTTCTGGTCTGACAAGTCTAAGTGGTCAACAGTTAGTTACACAGCTGGTGCCTGGCCAGACTATGCAAGGTCAAGTGGTGCATCAAGCCACAGCTCCATTAGGTGTCAACACAACTCTTGCTTCAAGCCTCACTCAAGGACAGGTAGGCATAAAGTGATGTCTTGTGATGCCAAACAACCTAAATCCACAGCTCAGTGACCCAGCTCTGTGGGTACCAACCAGATCCAATAGTGTTAATAACGGTAGTAAAGGGAGGACAGTTGCTTTTGTATATAGGTTGGGGTTTGATTTTTCTTCAAGAATTAAAGAAAAAATTACACCCAGTAATGGTCTTGTGGACTAAAGCTATTGATTCTGTTATGTTGCTTTGGAGTTTTGAATTCCATTCCAAGACCATAATTGTTATCACAAATATACAGTTATCTACAATAAAATCTTTGAGGATTTTACTGTTGACTAAATAACTTTAAAAAATTATAAGTGGAATTTGCACTTCTTTTATGACCTAGATTTGTTTTTTGTAATGAGCTTTAGTTGAGAAATCTAATTATAGTAAACTCTCATTTTTAAACTGCTTAGCATTATTCATTTCAATGTGATTTTCACTCCAAAACCTGTGTAATAGTATCATAATGAAGGGCATTGATATGACCTGTCATTACAATCGATTGATCTTGTTTATGAAGGCTTGACAAGAGCTGGATTCACACATAGGTGATTTACTCTTTAACCTTAAATTGCAGTTATACTGTATTACTGGGCTAAGGTTCACATGCTGAACATCATGCTTTTTATTTTAACCACACTTCATACATCAGAGAAAACTATTCCATGCTCCAGAATGTTGTGAGAACACCTCTGTTCTGCAATACTTGTGGACTTAATTACCATCTTTTTGCAGTTGATAATGGATTGCCCATATCATCCTTCAAGTTCTTCTGTAAGGTAATAATCCCCTAATGAAGAAACCTAATAAAGTGTTAACACCTGGTTAGAATCCACAGTGCTTACTGAATGATGAAAGAGCTGTGGACAGCACAAGTACACATGTAATTCTGGCCGTTACCCAGAAAGCCAAGTTGGCTAGCTAGGCTGGGTCAGCCTGCTACTGACTTCACCTTGTAGTATAGAAAATGAGTTTATAGGTGCACTAGCCAGGCTGGCCAATCAACCAATGAGAAAGCATTAATAGTCTCGCTGCATGAATGATAATGTGTGCTGGTTCACAAATAATTTTTCTTGTTAAATTATATTGAAGTTTATTCATTTAATTTCCACACCCTAACACACTATGCCCTTCAAACCAAATTCTACTTCATCAGTTACTTGTTCAGCAGGACCTTTCTGTACATTTTATTAATAGATTTCATGTAATGGTTCCTTCAGGTTGTCAATGCACAGACTGTGACAGGGGTACAGCAATTGGTACAAGGTCAGCAAATACAAACTGTAAACAACCATGTGTCTCAACCAAACATGGTTGCTGCAGCCACACAAGTGAAGACTACTGGTCCCAACCAGGCAGTTCCAGCGCCGACTGCATCCTCTAATGTGACAGCAGATTCCACAGCACCGGTATGCAATATCCATGAAGATGCTTTCTCTGTTTTTATTTTGATACCCTGTACAGTAATTTATTCAAATTTGAAGTTCACATACCAAATTTTGGGGGGTTCAGTTTTTCCTTCATTAAAAAAATATATTTCAAGCTGTTAAAATGCTGTAGGACTGTATAAGTTTCTTTTTAAATTGATGATTTAGTAATCCAGAATTAATCATGGTTGTCGTGCAGTAATTGTACGATTAAGACTTAGACAATCTTCCGGAAAGGCACTAAAGTTACCATCCTTTACGTTAACTGATACAGCTTTATAGGTGTACAACCCTTAAGTGAAAATGTAAGTTTATTTAGGGTACTTGACATTACTATCTTTCTACAGTATATTCTTGCCTAGCTACAGTTTACCCCAAGACCTCAGAGTCAAGAGCAAACCTAGCAATAGATTAGCTCTGGGTAAAAGCTTAATAAGATATTTATTCAATCTGTGTTTTTTCTCAACAGGTTCTCAACAAACAGAGAATTACTGAACTGGTTAGGGAAGTTGATCCTAATGAACAACTAGAAGAAGAAGTGGAGGAAATGCTTTTGTCTATTGCGGATGATTTTATTGAGTCGACTGTTAATGCAGCCTGTCGCCTGGCAAAGCACAGGGGAGCTAGAGTTCTTGATGTCAAAGATGTGCAAATGTATTTAGGTAAGGGACAAATTAGTTTATACAGAAGGCTGGTGACTACTGCATGTGCCTTTTGTTGATGTGGAAATGATATTGAAAAATTTTAGATGTATAAACTAAGCACACACAATTATTCAACAGGTGTTTTAATACAGAAGAGATTGTGTGGAGTGCAAGTTAAGTTTCTGCAGTCAAGTCTTTAAACAATGAAAAAGGAAAGGTTACATTATTGCTTGAAATAATCGTTGTTATTGACTATTGGTATACAGTACTGTAGAAAAACTATTTATAAAATTCAACAAAACCTGAAAGCATCATGTAACCTACTTTACTGGCTCAACTTAATAATTGTTGTCAGACATTTAGTATTAAAGTTAATACAAGCACAACTACCCTGTACAGTCATCTTGTAACGGCTGCATTAGCGGTGTTATATGCAATTGATCATAATTCATTATGTGCTCTTATTTTGGCAAGTACTGTATAGAACCCTTATTATTACGAGTTATAGAGATTTGCTCAATGTATTTACTGGTGTGTGTGTGTGTGTGTGTGTAAACTTGCCCATTTCCAACAAAATTACATAAGAGCTGATGAACAAAATTTATTTCACAAATATATTTAGTAATTTTTCCCTTATTTACAGAACGCAACTGGCACATGTGGATACCAGGCTTTGGTACAGATGAACTACGGCCATATAAGAGAGCACCTACAACTGAAGCTCACAAGCAGCGGCAAGCACTTATTAGGAAAGCAATAAAAAAGTATTGAGGTTTCAGAATTTGTTAAGTGTTTAATTTCTTCTCCAATTTAGCTACTTTTAACTGTCTTATTTTTAAGTGTAATTTGCTATGCAATAATACACAGTTCATTAAAAAATATATATCTACTGAGGTACTCCATTTTATAAGTTGTTTCTGCAGTGTAAAGGTGTAAGTGTCTTTGTATTTTGTAATTTGCTGAGAAAGGTGTGATAGTGAATGTATGAGTATCTATGGTTTAATAAATAGGGTTTTTTTATAGCAATTCATGCATTCAAGATTTTTGTGACAGTGAGAGTATTTCTCCTGTATCAAATGCTGTGTAGTTTGAATTGTAAAATCGGTGTATAAATCATATGAAGTTTGTATGGTACTGCATTGAATAGAATCAATTATCACACATTGACCATTACAAATTTGTATGGTACAGTTAAGTTTTCTGATCTATAAATTTGCAAAATCTGGATTTACCTTTATACAATTTTCAAACATAACAGAAATGCAAATACTGTACCATATGTGAAAGCATTTTCGGTTGAATTAAATTTATTTAATGGTGTTTGAAAATACCAGTCATAATTTCTTAAATTTGTTCAGGACTCATTGAAAATTATTGTATTAAAATTATGGTACCCATTCCACAACCTGTGTTATATTTCTTTTTAACTCGGTTCTTGTCAAGATTACTAGATTTTGAAACAAAATATGTAGATGTACAGTAATGGTTCACCGTATTTGTGATTGTTGTCGTTACTGTAAACTCCGAATTCAGATGATCCCAAGATTGCACTGTGCCATGATTAGAATTTGGATCTAGAACTGCTTGACATTCATGCTATGGACTATTCCAGGAGCAAATATACTATCTCTAATTAGTCTCTATTTTACTCAGTTAAAGGTTAAAAGGTGGAACAATAAGGATAGTACAGTACATGGGAGGGTATAAGAGGGGGAAAGTAATTATATACAGTAATGATAGGTTGGCCTGGAGGCTCTTCTGTCATGGCCACACCCACAGATGGGGGCTGTCAGGACAAGTGTAGTTTCATAGACGAGAGAGAAATATAAGCTAGATGAATTAAATAAATAATATATATAGTTGCTGACAAAAGTTCGCTCCGTTTGTTGAAACCGAGTCATGGAAACGAGTTTCCGAATTTACCTACCCTGACTGGTCTGGTGTGGCTGTGCTGCTTTATTTTATTTGGGGTTGATGCTTCATGTTGGGAGGAGTTAACTTTTGACCCAACTGTACACAATATGTTAGTCAATGCCATTATATTTGGTACTTGTACTTAAGTTCATTTGATTTGAATTTTTGAACTGAGTAAAATGGAAAATATTCTGCCATATCTCTTCCTCAGTTATGGCAAGTGTATGCTTGAACATAGAGAATTTAGAATGGCTATGCAATATTTTAATTCCAAGAATAGCGTAGTACAGTATAATCCCTGTCATTTGAATTCAGAGTTCACGCATAACATAGTACAGTATGTGGCTATTATGGTTTTGTGAGATTTTTATAGGAACACCTTTGCAGTAGATGAAAAAGTTTTGGGTAATAATAATGATAATGTGTAATGTAAAGAAAACCCACCAGTAGGAGAAAGAACACTGTTTTCTGACAGAGCTTCCATGGGCAATTGAGGCCAACAAAAGTCCTATCTTTTGATAAAATAAAGATTAAAGTTGGTTACTAGAGTATAGAATTTAAGTAAAGCCTTGGGTTGTAGTTTTATGATGTCATGTAATTAAAGGTATTATAGTTCCAAGAATGTGCAGTAACAATTAAGTCTTTGTTTGTACTAACTGTGGGGGTTGGGAATCATCTTCAGTTTAGTGTAATAGAGAAATTTTATTGTGGATTGGAGAGGGTTTCTGTTATATAATGTCCAAGTGGTTGGATTTGTTTTTGTTTTGCAATACTATGATATATAGCTAATAAGTACAGTAGTGGAATAAATTTTAAAACATGTCAGTGAATTACTGTTTGAACTATATTTTTAGGTAGGGGAATTATTGGGATTATTTATTTATACGGAGATTTATTAAAAATGTAAATTGTATTTGTGATGTTTTATTTGTTTAAATGATATACGGTAAACCCTCGATAACTCGGCACACACGAGGCATTTCCTCCCTCCTACAAAAATGCAACAATAAAAACATTATCAACCCATATATGTGTACGTACATGTAATTACAGCTCGCTCACTGCTGTTTTCGCATATGATCTGTGTTGTGTTGTACTGTACTGTACATTGCAGTGTTAAGACATAAATAAGTGATTAGTTACATATACAAGTACTCCTCGACTTACGACCGCCCCAGTCATACCAAATTTTTCAAATTACGTATTTTCAAATCCCGACGTTAGTGATTGCTCTGTGTACGGACAAAATTTTTCTTTGTAATTCGCTTTAAAATGGCTGGCAAGCGTAAAAGTGAGAGTTTTGTGGTGCTCAGAAGAAAAAGAGACACCCAATTTAGATTTTCTATGTAATCATAGACGTTGGGACTCGAAAATACGTAATTTGACAAAATTTTGGTATGACTGAGGCAGTCGCATGTCCGGGTGGTCTTAAGTCGGGGAGGAGCTGTACTAATTGTAAAAAAGTAACACTTATAGCACTGCAGGCAAAGAATGAAGCATTATAGTAGGTGACACAGAGGTATGGTAGGTGATGCAGGTGGCCAGATATGCAGAGATTTTCTCGGATAATTTTACATATCTCGGCATTTCCCGAGTTATACTAATACATTCCGAGACCACATCCATGCGTGTTATGTGAAATGCCAAGTTATCAAGGGTTTACTGTATTGTACACTACCATAGATAGTGTGAACACCAAGTACTCTACACTCTAAATACTGTACGTGACTTTCCTAACTATGGCCAAATGTCAGACATCTCTTATGATTGTGTTTGCCTTGTTTGGGTTGTCAAGTTACTTTACCTTATATTGTAACAAGGCCAATTATCTAATCCATCTTTAGTCAATTTGAGTGCCTCTTCCTCCCCATCAAATGGAGATCAGTTGCAAAGTGTCTGTCCAACCATTTATTTTTCAACGAGTCTAACATCTTTGAAATTCAGTTTATAGCCGACTTTCATCAAGAGCAGAACTTTAGCCTAACTCTCCACACTTTCTACGGAGCTAGTGCCAAAGCCCAATATGAACAAAGACACTAAGGGACTGAGCATAAAATGCCATTTTTTTTTATTTAAACAGGTGTTTACATGGAGATCACTGACAAGCTTCTAACCTAATCACATGATGACTGGTTTAAAGGACAATTTTGATAAAAGTTATCCTATCTGAAAACCCTTCCCCAGGATTGTTACAATAAATTATCATACAGTACATAGTTAAAGACATTGGATTAATTAAAGCCAATAAAAATATAATGTACAGTATAGTAAATAATATTGTAGACAAATTCCATAGTAATACAGTAAAAATTGTTGACCTAAATTGACGTGCTGTGGACAAATGAGCGAGTCAGGTTAGCTGAAGAATCATCAGAGTAAGGAGTGTTGCTTGCTGTAAATTGAGATAGAAATCCCTTACCAAGCTAATCAGGATCTTAATAAAGGAAAGTCAAGGTCCATGGTTTTCTGAGGAATAGCAAACAACCGTTTGAGATTGACATCTCTTTACTATAAAAAATAAACACAAAACTCTGACACCACTCAACACACATCAAATAATTATGGGACTCAAGCAATTAATGCAATCAATAGTTAATGGAGTTACCTGACCCAGCTTGGAGAAGGACGTGCCCCCAAGTTCTCCCGTAGTGACCAAGGAAAATGGCCGCCTTGGATAGTGGTGTCTTGGGGGAAGAGGAGAGTAGTGTGGGGAAATATGACCTCTTGGCCACTCTGCTAAGGCAGCTGGGGCAGTTGAGGAGTGAGGTTGACTCTCTAAAGGGGGAAAATGAAGCCCTCAGGACTGAACTCCTTCAGGTAGGTGTCCTGCCTAGCAGGACACCTGCGAAGGCGGAGCAGGCATGGAGAGTGGTTTTCAAAATAAGGCTGGATAGATTCATGGATGATAGAGTGGTAGTAACTCTCGACAGGAGCTGCCATGCACAGGCCAACCGGCCTATTGCAGACTCCTTATTTTCTTATGTCACATGTAATCAATTAAGGGAAACAAACAATTAAAGGAATCAAACAATTAATGGGAGTCAGCAATTAATGAATTCAAACAATTAATTGGAGTCAACAATTGATAGAATCGAAAATAAAGGGGAGTCGGCAATTAATGGAATCAAACAATGAACAGATATTTCCTACGAGCTGTGGCCCTGGGGAAAGGTTCTGGAACACGGTGATGCACACTCAGGGTAGGGAAGCGTCCATTAAACTCCACACTCGAACGACAGCAGCCGATGTCTTGAAATGGCAGAACACCGGGCACAGACAGAATGAGATGAACTGACGGTCGTGGTATGTGGTAGATGACCAGAGAATTGACTGTCGATAGGTGAAGGTCTGGGGATACAGACCACGAGTCCAGGACCTATGATGAGATCACAGCCAGAATTTGACGAACAGCAGGGTAGCTTGATAGTGACTGTATGGCGGCTGAGGTGAATCTGGCGTGACACAGGTAGCAGCTGCCGTTCTCACCTCCGTCCAACCACCCCAAGTGTCGTCCGCACCAACAAACGAGAGGAAGGTTGTTTCCGCCCTTACACAGCTCCCCCAACAAAAATCTACTGTAAGGTAGATTAAAACCTAAGATTAGTACACAAACATAATCAGCTTACAACAAATGCTTAAATACACATTGCACAATAAAGAAGGGTCATAAAAGAATGTGGTAACTTTATGTCCAAAACGTAAGGCCGGATCAAGGAACTGCAGGTGGGGTCCACTTCAGTCCAGGTTTAAGTTTGGGCCAATTGCCAGTCTTAGAGGATTCTTCTATCTCGTCAGGTGTTATCAGCAACTGGCAGCCGAGATCATTAGAGCCTGGCGCCCGAACTTCACAGCTTGGGGACATCGTCAAGGACACGAGCAATGTGGGTCCTGCAATTATATTGCTTTAACAAATTAGCTTGATGTAATTTAGGCTTCTTAGAGGAAGGGGGTGATAATCGTCCAATAAAATCTATGGCTACCCGAGAACATGGTTCTGCAATGACGGGTAAGGGTTTAAGTGGACCAGGACGGACTCTACCCTTGGCGGACATACGTGGGCACCGATCACAACTACAAAAAGCTCTAATATCCGCTCCCATACCTGGCCAGTAAAACTGATCAGCAACCTTCCTACAAGTTTTCCTACGAGAACAGTGACTTACAAGAGAGCTCTTGTGAGCTACAGAGAATGTTACTACGACAAACATCAGGGACAACAAGTAAACACCGACCTACTTTAGCTGGTCGCTTGGATGAAACACAAGACCTGTGTAACACCCCATTAATAGAAACAAACTTATAAACCGACCCATCTCTCACCTGATCCTCCTCCCCGGAAGTCACCTTCTCCCTTACCCGCTTCAGAGTGGCACACGAGTCTTGAAGCTTGGCGAACTCCTTGGGAGTCACAGTCAGTGGCAACAAATTCGGCAGAATCAGGGAATGCGGTCGTTTCACCTTCGCCGCCCGTGTCTCTACAGCTTGGACCTTGGCTGCAGGCGTGGCGGCGTGTGAGGGTGGCGAGGCGACGTCGGCAGGTGGCGTGGGGACTGGTGCTGGTGGCGTGGGGACTGGTGCTGGTGGTGTGGGGACTGGTGCTGGTGGCGAGGAGACTGGTGCAGAGGAGAGTTTTCAAGGTTCCGGGTTATTAGGGTCACGAACACCGGGAACATTACCAATGAGGACACTAGCAAATTTAATGGGAGCTCTTACCACATTAGACCAACCAGTGAAAAAGGGGCAACGCAGGTAGCACCTAACAACCGGAAACTGGTCAACACGACCTAAATAATCGGCGACACTAACCTTCGGGCAGCTGGAGATGTCAGCGTCAGGCAGGGCTTCTTCAGAGACAATAATGCACGAGCAACCAGTGTCCCTGATGAAAGTAGATGCCCTAGAGTCCTAGACCCATTTATTGTTCCATTGACAATAACTGGGGCAGCTCCTGTCTTCCAAGCAGAATCCGACCTTGTTACTGGGCTGATGAGTGTCAGCAGTCTTGAAGGCGAGGGGATTCCTGGGACAGCGAGAACGAATGTGCCCTTCTCCGCAGCTGTGACACCGCACGGCTAGTGAACTACTCCTGTGTATTCCTGGGGATGGTTCCTCGGAGGACGGAGGCTTCGCAATCTTCACTACAGGAGTGTAAGACTTGGGGTAGGCGTTGCCAGCAGACGCCCAGTTGTCGGCAAGATGCACAGCTTCTCCAAGCGTCGCTGGCTGGTGTTCTTTGATGAAAATTCTCAAGTCTGGAGGTAGAGAAGACAAAAACTGATCTATTATCATGAAGTTAGAGAGACTCAAAGGTTTCTTCAACCTCCGATGCTTCCAGCTAGTGTTGAAACAAACGTCCCAGGTGAATCCAAAACTGCAGGTACGTTTCTCCCGCTCTAATCTACATTCTGCGGAAATCAACACGATAACCGTCAGAAGTCTTGTTAAACCCTCGCAAGAGAGCTTGCTTCAACAAGAAGTAATCTCTGGTAATGTCGGCAGACAGGGACGTGTAAATTTCTACCGGCTTACCACTCAGTAGGCTACCCAACCTTACAGCGTAGCTATCTGGGTCTACACAAAGCAGCTCAGCTACCCGTTCAAACCTAACAAGGTAGGAGGCGATGTCTTCTCCTTCACGGTACACAGGCAAGCTGGGTTTTACCACATTGTCTTGAATATGGCCAGAGGATTCTGGTCTACTTGAAGTATTAATCCTAGCTAGTTCTAGGTCCTTTTCTATCTGCAACTTAGCCAATTCGAACTCTCACTATTTCTGCTGCGTTCATCCATCTCTCTCTCTCTCTCTCTCTTTCTGAAGTGCCTCTCTCTTTCTGACGTGCCCCTCTCGGCATTCTGTTGGGTGACCACATACTGACCAATCTCAGTACCTGTCAGACCCAAGGCCACCACTTG